TAAACAAACTGCTAGCTGCAACATCAATCCCCTTCGGCCACACCCTTCCAGGCAGCCCCCGTTGCACCTAACAACTATTAGTCGCAAGTTTTTTGATTTGGCTTTGTTTATTGTCAGCTCAAAGTTGAAATCCAAAACGAAATTTCTTGCACGGCAGCCAAAAACTTTGTTGCGCAAGAAATTCAAATTGCAATTCGAATTTAGTTGCAAGCACAGCGTGCGGCTTTAAGGTTAAGATATTGCAACAACAGCTGCCACACATCACGGTAGCTTCCCCCCCCTAGCACATTTTTTTTGGCATTCATGCAACAATACGCATAAATAAAAAAAAAAAAGTTGGCTGCTGCTTGGTTTCTTTTTAAGTCGGTTTCATTTTGTTCTTGCTGCATCCTTCAGTGCAGGCGACGAAAGCCAAAACTCGTTATCGTTTAATTCCAGCAAGGAGCACCGAGTCCTTGCCAAGCCGAGTCAAACTATTGGCAGCTGACAGCGGAACAGAGAGCGTACACTGAGAGAAACTAGAACGTATCGAACTTACAATTAACTATATCTATGTTAGAACAATTAGGAGCAAAAGTCTTGGGCTAAGTTCAAGTGAAAGTCCCACAAGACAAGTTTTGTTCTTAGTTTAAGCATCTTAAAGCTTGGGCAGATGTTGACTACATTTCTCAGTTCCTATTTATCAGCTTTTTCTCCAAGTGTAACTCTTTTTGTTGTCTTATTAATTCTCTCTCCCTCTCTCTCTCCACTCTCTACATTATGCATTTCCTTGCGCTTTTGTTGCAACATTCAAGCACAATATTTGCATAATACAGACTGATTGATGTTTGACTGTTTTGGGGGAGAGTGTATTATCACAGTGGGCTGGCTGTAGAGAGCCATTGCTATTGGTAATGAAAAGCGGGCCAAGAGATTGGCAAAGATTGGCAGCAGCCCACATGCAGCAGCAACTGAGGCAGATGACAACAATTCACAACTTGTAAATATAATGCCAAGCGTCCTACTATTTGCACACCAACAACAACAACAACAACAACAACAATAACAAAAGTCTGGTAACTGGCACAAGGCAACATCGGCTGCAAGAACAACAACAACTACAACAACAGCTAAAACTTGGCGGAATCGATGGCCTGCTTGTGCCACACAGCCTCGACTCCGTTTGCTGCCTCTGAGTGCAAATAGTTTTTGGTTTTTACTTATTGTTGCCTACCTTTATATCCTCCGCCCCGCCCATTCCGTATCTAGTTTGCCTCCCCTCTCGCGCAGCCATCCGTCCTGCTACAAGCAGCTGGCGCTTAGCCAATTCCAGCATCCACACTGAGCTCTGCCTGGCATTTTGGCTGGCATTTTTGTTTACCAACCTTAACAAAGACTTGCCGCATGCCTTCGTATTTTCTTATTTACTCAAAAGTCCAAATAAACTCGCCTGCAGTGCCCGCAAAAGGTGTAGAAAACAACAGTCTGACCAAGCACATAAATTATGTAACGATTTATGGAAATTTAGAACTTCTATCGGAGGGTTATGAATATAAACAGTTCTGAAGTAGCTCTTAATTTAACAGCGATATCAAAGAGTTTCGCATTGCGGTTCAATAATCGAGGAAATCGAACAAAATCCTTTAAAAAGTGAGTAAAAAGTGAGCTATGGCAGTAAACTTTTTGAAATTCGCTTGGGTTTTGACCGAGTTATGGAGGTGGGAATTTTGACCAAAAAATATGTGTTCAGATTTAAATGCCAGATGATTCTAAAGGGTAAGCCATGAACAAAAAACCAGACTTTTTGAAAATCGCTTGGGTTTTGACCGAGTTATGGAGTTTGGAAGTTTTGACCCATGTCTATATACGAATCTTGGGATAAGATTTTGACATGAATTTCGACTAAAAAATATGTGTTCAGGTTTAAATGCCAGATGAATATAGAGGGTAAACCATGATCAAAACACCAAACTTTATGAAAATCGCTTGGGTTTTGACCGAGTTATGGAGGTGGGAAGTTTTGACCCATGTCTATATACAAATCTTGGGATAAGATTTTGACATGAATTTCGACCAAAAAATATGTGTTCAGATTTAAATGCCAGATGAATCTAGAGGGTAAACCATGAACAAAAAACCAAACTTTTTGAAAATCGTTTGGGTTTTGACCGAGTTATGGAGTTTGAAAGTTTTGACCGAGTTATGGAGTTGGAAGTTTTGACCCATGTCTATATACGAATCTTGGGATAAGATTTTGACATGAATTTCGACCAAAAAATATGTGTTCAGGTTTAAATGCCAGATGAATCTAGAGGGTAAACCATGATCAAAACACCAAACTTTATGAAAATCGCTTGGGTTTTGACCGAGTTATGGAGGTGCGAAGTTTTGACCCATGTCTATATACGAATCTTGGGATAAGATTTTGACATGAATTTCGACTAAAAAATATGTGTTCAGATTTAAATGCCAGATGAATCTAGAGGGTAAACCATTAACAAAAAACCAATTTTTTTGAAAATCGCTTGGGTTTTGACCGAGTTATGGAGTTTGGAAGTTTTGACCGAGTTATGGAGTTTGGAAGTTTTGACCCATGTCTATATACGAATCTTGGGATAAGATTTTGACATGAATTTCGACTAAAAAATATGTGTTCAGGTTTAAGTGCCAGATGAATCTAGAGGGTAAACCATGATAAAAACACCAAACTTTATGAAAATCGCTTGGGTTTTGACCGAGTTATGGAGGTGGGAAGTTTTGACCCATGTCTATATACGAATCTTGGGATAAGATTTTGACATGAATTTCGACCAAAAAATTTGTGTTCAGATTTAAATGCCAGATGATTCTTAAGGGTAGGCCATGAACAAAAAACCAAACTTTTTGAAAATCGCTTGGGTTTTGACCGAGTTATGGAGTTTGAAAGTTTTGACCGAGTTATGGAGTTTGGAAGTTTTGACCCATGTCTATATACGAATCTTGGGATAAGATTTTGACATGAATTTCGACCAAAAAATATGTGTTCAGGTTTAAATGCCAGATGAATCTAGAGGGTAAACGATGAACAAAAAACCAAACTTTATGAAAATCGCTTGGGTTTTGACCGAGTTATGGAGTTTGGAAGTTTTGACCCATGTCTATATACGAATCTTGGGATAAGATTTTGACATGAATTTCGACTAAAAAATATGTGTTCAGGTTTAAATGCCAGATGAATCTAGAGGGTAAACGATGAACAAAATACCAAACTTTATGAAAATCGCTTGGGTTTTGACCGAGTTATGGAGTTTGGAAGTTTTGACCCATGTCTATATACGAATCTTGGGATAAGATTTTGACATGAATTTCGACTAAAAAATATGTGTTCAGGTTTAAGTGCCAGATGAATCTAGAGGGTAAACCATGATAAAAACACCAAACTTTATGAAAATCGCTAGGGTTTTGACCGAGTTATGGAGGTGCGAAGTTTTGACCCATGTCTATATACGAATCTTGGGATAAGATTTTGACATGAATTTCGACCAAAAAATATGTGTTCAGGTTTAAATGCCAGATGAATCTAGAGGGTAAACGATGAACAAAAAACCAAACTTTATGAAAATCGCTTGGGTTTTGACCGAGTTATGGAGTTTGGAAGTTTTGACCCATGTCTATATACAAAAATTGGGATAAGATTTTGACATGAATTTCGACTAAAAAATATGTGTTCAGATTTAAATGCCAGATGAATCTAGAGGGTAAACCATGAACAAAAAACCAATTTTTTTGAAAATCGCTTGGGTTTTGACCGAGTTATGGAGTTTGGAAGTTTTGACCGAGTTATGGAGTTTGGAAGTTTTGACCCATGTCTATATACGAATCTTGGGATAAGATTTTGACATGAATTTCGACTAAAAAATATGTGTTCAGGTTTAAGTGCCAGATGAATCTAGAGGGTAAACCATGATAAAAACACCAAACTTTATGAAAATCGCTTGGGTTTTGACCGAGTTATGGAGGTGGGAAGTTTTGACCCATGTCTATATACGAAAATTGGGATAAGATTTTGACATGAATTTCGACTAAAAAATATGTGTTCAGATTTAAATGCCAGATGAATCTAGAGGGTAAACCATGAACAAAAAACCAATTTTTTTGAAAATCGCTTGGGTTTTGACCGAGTTGTGGAGTTTGAAAGTTTTGACCGAGTTATGGAGTTTGGAAGTTTTGACCCATGTCTATATACGAATCTTGGGATAAGATTTTGACATGAATTTCGACCAAAAAATATGTGTTCAGGTTTAAATGCCAGATGAATCTAGAGGGTAAACCATGATCAAAAACCCAACCTTTTTGACAATCGCTTGGGTTTTGACCGAGTTATGGAGTTTGGAAGTTTTGACCCATGTCTATATACGAATCTTGGGATAAGATTTTGACATGAATTTCGACAAAAAAATATGTGTTCAGATTCAAATGCCAGATGATTCTAAAGGGTAAGCCATGAACGTAAAACCAAACTTTTTGAAAATCGCTTGGGTTTTGACCGAGTTATGGAGTTTGGAAGTTTTGACCCATGTCTATATACGAATCTTGGGATAAGAGTTGGACATGAATTTCGACCAAAAAATATGTGTTCAGATTTAAATGCCAGATGAATCTAGAGGGTAAACCATGAACAAAAAACCAAACTGTTTGAAAATCGCTTGGGTTTTGACCGAGTTATGAGATCAGATCAGATTTAAATGCAAAATTAATTAAGAGACCAAAACAATAGAAAAAAAACCCTATGAAAATCTGTTGAGTTTTATTCGTGTTTTGAGGGTGGGATATTTTGAGGATACCTTAAGGTAAAATAATGTTGCAAGATTAAGATGTCAAATTGATCAAGAGGCCAAGCAATGATGGGTCTGGGAACCTTCGTGACATTTTGACGTTCCTTAAAACCTTTGCACAGAATAGCTCAGGTATTACTTAATAGTTGAAAATGTGATCGCAGGAGGCGGCAATTTTATAGCTCATGGCGAGCAATACGAAAATGTTCAGTTGCTTTACACACTTCGAAACGAATATACTTGTTTTTCAGTTCCGATCTTTTTTTTATATGCTTTTTTTAAATCTTTAGTAAGTTTTTGATAAAAAGAAAACAAACGTGTGAACGAGAAATTCTTGAGAAATGAGTGTATATTCCTCTGAGGAAACCGTTTCGGAGGAATCCCTATTGCCGCCCGGCGACAGCAAACTCGACGCTGGCTTGGCGCAAATCGATGCGTGTAATTTCAATTCGGTAAGTGGAGGGCGATGCTTTGGACAAAGTCTTTTTCTCAACTTAATTGAAGAATGCATTGGCCACGCCCCCACAGCATCCCATGTTAGTGTATACGATTGACGACACCGTTGCCAGCTGCAGCGCCGTTTGTTGCGTGGAATGCGCCGAGCCTGAAAACCTTGAGGCTTGCTGTAAGCCGAAACCGAGGCGGCGATGTTGCCCCAAGCCCTGCCCGCGTCCAAAGCCCAGGTGCAAGCCGAAGGTGTGCTGTAAGCCAAGGCCCACATGCAAACGCAAGCCAAAGAGATGCTGCAAACCGAGGAAGAAGCCATGCTGCCCCAAGCGAAAGCCACGTCCCTGCCCCAAGCGTTGCTAAATGCAACCACAATTGGCAGGATTTGGGATCTACCATTGCCATTGCCTCGGCTCTGTCGGCATTTACATATGTGTATGCATGTGTGCATGTGCTTGGAGCTAATAATGGGGATTGGCATTTTAATTTTATGTGTGTGTGTGTGTGAATTATAACAAGTGCTGAAAATGTTCAAAAATCTTTTGCTTGAAACGGGAAGAGTAATACACTTGACGGGAGACGAGAATTTCCAAAGCAGGGTCAACCGCAACCCCTGCCTGCTTTTTAAAACGTATTCCCGCTAAGAAAGTTACCAAAAATTTCATTTTCAACCATTTTCCACGCATGTACTATAACACGTTTCATATTTAAGGGTGTCCAGGTCCTAGAACACATTTTCATTAGTGCCGTTTAGTCGTAATGAGTTGAGCTTTTGGCACAACAGAGCACAGCTGCTGACCCCCTCGGGCAACACCTTTGCCCTCAGATAAACAGATGCCTGACTGCTTGTCAAGCATTTAGTTGCTCTCAATCTCTATTTCCCCTTCACTCTCCGACTCTCCCTACTCTTCACACATTACCCTGGTTGCTTCCGCAAACGCCTCACTTGCGTGGACTTATTAAATGCACTCGAGCGAAACATCAAAGTTGCCTCGATTTGTAGCTGCCTCATTCGCTTCCGCAACGCTTGCGATCCCGACTCTGGGGCTCCTGATGTTTATTAAATAGTTGCACGTCGTGTGTCTGTCGGTTGTTGGGGAAAGAAGAGTGTCAGGGGTCGGTTTATTTGCTTACGGGTAGAATGTTTAGGGTTTGGTCTAGGTCTTAGTGCATCACTGCAATTCGTGCCATATTTCAATTTTAACATTGCCATTCCGACAGCTGCAACTGTTTGGTTCCCTTGTCCCCTTGGCCCCTTGGACTTTTCGAATGCCTTTCCTTCCTTTTCGTTTTTTTTTTTTTATTTTTTGTTGCATCTCTTCAGCTCTTTGTGAGGCTAATAGAATGTCAGAACTGGTGCGCTGCATTGCCATGGCAGCCTTTGATGCGGCGATATTGAAATGAAAACCAAACAAATGTCACGCTTTTAAACTCTGTCTGATCCCAGGCCAGGACCGACCACCCCTTCCCCAATCCCTTTGCCAACGACTGTTGATTTAAAGCACAAAATTGCAAATTGCAAAAATTCCGCGTTACGAAAAAATTGCGTATACGTCGCTACGTAATAGCTTAAAACGTAACAGCGCGTTACGACAATTTACATTTATTGCCAACCATTTCAAATCGCATAAAGCGTAGCCATGGGCGGTGCTCTATGGTTGGGGGCGTGGCTGCCAGCTTGTAATGGCAGCCAGCTTCTATTATATTGTTAAGCTGACATTGGCCCCAGTTGTTATTGTTATTGTTGTTGTTGTTGTTGTGGTATACACAAACACTTGGCATGAATTATGGATGGCAGCAAAATGAAACGAAACGAAACGAAACGAAAATGGCAAGGATGCGAAAGGAATACGGCATGAGAGAGCAGATAAGCCTGTCAACGGGTTGAGAGTTGCCAATTTGTTGGTTCATTGTTGGTTTTTAAGGGCATTTGCAAACATTTTGCCAGCCAAAAAACCAACTCCGGTTGCCCTTGAAAGCAAATCGAGAAGGTTGATGAGTGCGTTTGGTGATATTTTGAATTTGCTTTTTGTAAATTGACTTTTAATTACGTTAAAAGCACTCTTATACAGTGTTGTGAAACTTTCAAATGTACTCATTGCGTTAGCTTACAAATTACTTAGAAAATTTTCCTGAAAAACCCATTAAAAAGTTGTTTATGTGACATGCACTTAAGATTTGAACTATGAAACAGAGAGACAACGGCTCTAATCTTACTTTTTAATACGCTAGTACTTTACATTCTTAGTCTATTAACTGCCAAAACTCACTTCAAGATGTTTGAAGACTCTGTTCACATTGGTACAGTGACCGCTCGCATATGTGAACCTGCATTAGCAATAAAAACTAACTCATTTAGAGAACTTATCTACCCAGAGCTGCGCTTACATAATTACATAGAATTTTAAAAAGGCCATTTGTGAAATCACAAATATCTGCCAATTAGAATCAGCTCTTGATAACTTCATAGTCAGCGCTGACTGTATCTACTTTTGTAATTCGTTTAAATGCATAATCCTTGCCTCTGGACAGCCTTGCAATGCCCAGCCTTTACCCGTAGTTTAGCTCTAGACTATAGAGAATTTGCTCGTCAGTCAAGTCTCACAGTTTTTACTCTTCTTTGTGTTTATTTTGTGCTCCCCAACCCTCACCCCTCGCCCATCATTCGGTGCGCCAAGACATTAACCCAACTCACTTTCGCATTATGAATTTTCAACGAGGCGATGAGACAAAATTTATGAGGTTTACAAATCACATTTCCAGGCGAAAATTGTTACAATGCGGACACAAAAGCTGTTAATTATTTTGTAGCCTATTAACAAAGGCAGGATATCAAGAATTTTGCCAGGCTAATAGCTTTCTCGCGCGCTCTCTCTCTCTCTCACTCTCGCTCAGCTGAACGTTGTGCATATGCGTTACATCCCAGAGACAACTGCACTTGACACTTTGGCGCAACAATTTTCGAACTGTTGCAGTTGTTGCACAGTTTCTAGGCCATAACAGATCCGCCACCCCCCTCTTTTCACAAGCTGCAAACCAACTTGCCTTCTAGCTAAACCGCCTGGCGCCATTTAGAAGGCACATTAATCAATTTAGCCGTCAGCAGCAGAAGCAGCAGAAGCTGGCGCAAGAGCTGGAACAGCAGCCAAGCGAAACCGAAAGCTGCCTCCGTGTGCAAAACTCTGGCGTTCATTCGTTCATGTAAATTATAACGCCGTCGTCTGTCCGTTATTGCCGGTCCGGTCTGCAGCCGAGGATTCCTGCTGTTTTACCCATCCCCCCGCCCCCTCAGACCAGTCTAGTGTTTAGTTTTGTGGTGCATTTTTTGTTGGCTCCCTGGCGCCAGTTAAAAACTTAATTAAAACCATAACAAAGCAAAGCCAGCAAACATTTTGCTGCCAAACTTGGCGCTCATCCGACAATTTCTTGGCGCTCAGCGTGCGCCCCGAGTGCTTTAAAGTGCAGCACAAATAGAAAAAACATTTTCATTTACACACATGTTTGGCATTTAGATGCAATTAAAGCCACGAGACTGAAAGTGGATATGGCAACAGAAATAAAGAAAAAAAATGGAAATGAAATCTTATAAATTCCGAACGCGGAGCTCAGTTACTGAGCTAAGTTACGAGCTAAGCGGGTGGAATGGCGGGGGAGGATGGGGGATGGGGTCGTGTCATTGCATCTTTTGTGCATTTGAAATTTAATTAACACGCACACACACACGCACACACACACGTGCAGGCAGCAACAATGAGTGACGGACGAGCAGCAAAAAACGGCAGCGAGCAAAACTAATAAAAACTCATTTCAAAGAGTTTTTGATGAGGCAAAAGACGAAAGAAGTGGACACAGGACCAACAAGAAGCAAGCTGCAATGAGGCAAGGAGATGAACAGGATGGTGAGAGGAGGAGGGAATGCGGCACAGAGCTAACACTAGACAGGACTGCAGAGCTTCCGCTTTGGCTGGCTGCTAATTCAGCGCCTGTTGCTATTGTCAGGGGCAAAAGGATGCAGCAGGACATGCAGCAGGAGCTGCAACAGGATGCTGTCCGCCAGCTTTTGTCTCAGCTGTTACAATATTTAGCCATCCACCTACCCCTACCCGTTGCCATCTCCTGCTGGTTGTTGTTATTGTACTTGCCAAGTACAACTTTTGCTCTAATGAATGTCAACTTTGGCTGTAAGTGTTGACAGTGCCACAGTATCCTGTTCCACATCCCTTGTCGGATCCTTGTTCAAAACTTTTGTGCTGCCTGCATTTTTAAAACAGCTGCAGGCGTTCTTCATCCTGTTGTTGTTGGCTAACCGAAATTAATCAGGCGAAAAGTTGTTGGTCAAGTTTTATGGCCAATTATGATAGCGATTTAGATAGACGAATTCTTAGACCGCATATTAATTAATATTCCATAATTAATTAATAATTAATTCATATTCCATATATTTATGCATGTGGCCAAAATAACAGCCTAGGCTAATAAAATGCGGCTTATGTCGAGTAAATGTGCCAAAATATATGAAAAACAAATAAATACTTTGTTAGCAACTGTAACCGACTGCAAAATACTCTGTTCGCCATGTAAAACTAGATAAATATCAAAAAATCTCAACAGCTTATTTTTTGATTCTGTTCACTTTTCATTTTATGAACAGAGAATACAAATTCCACAAAGCTGTCAATATGATGAAGTGTAAAGCAAAAGAGAAAATGCAATCTCGTGGAAATTGAGGGAAATTGCAAAAACCAAAGCAAAGTTAATAAAGGGACGACTTCAATGCCATCGAGTCCAGCTAAAGGACACATTAAAGCATTATATAAAACGTAAATCAAACAACTAATTCGCTGAGCTCAAGTTGCCGCATTTTGTGGACTTACCCCACAGCCACGCCCACGTCCCATAGAAGCCACCAACTGTTCAAAGTTAAAATCGACTTTCATTATTTATACGCTGTGATTTTTAACGGACAGCAAACTGTCGCTGGTCATTGCCAACATTGGCATATCCTCTAGTCACTGTCCTCTCCCTCTCCCTCTCTCTCTCTCTCTCTCTCTGTGGCAGCCCCGTCCACGCCCACTGCCTGCCCCACTGTTTTTCTTTCTCGCTGGCATGTTGGCTGTTAGTTGGTCTAAATATTTGCAGCAGCACTGAAACTTTTTTCATGGGACGTTTATGAACATTTTTGACGATTTCGATTTTACCGAGCCAATATTTACATATTGCCAGTCAGAACACCCACCCACCCATCGCAAGCCACCCAATACGTTGGCTATTGCTCACAGTTTATTGGATGTGCAGTTAACCAAATATAAATCGCATATCGGATTCTCGATTGCACAGCGCATAAGCCGCTTAGCACAAAATTACTCATACGCCGAGTGGCACCAGTTGGTATGCCGCTTTTATTCCACCTCTTTCTATGCCCTGTACACATTGAGAAAGAGTTGAAACGCTCACAAGATATCAGATATCATACAATATATATATTCCTAATGAGCTACCAGAAAATATATAATTACTTCCATGTAGCCTTCTCTGAAC